GTAGTCTTTTCTGCTAGTGTTTTAAAACACTAATTTGAGCAACGTTATTTCGCAATTTCGATCTTTTGTAAACCTGGGGTGATGTATCAAGGTCTAAAGTAACCGTTTTATCAATTTTTGAAAAATCAAGAAAAAAGTGAAAATTTCCCTTCTCGCTACCTTAATGTGTGTATGCAGTCAGATTCAGTTACTTGTGCTTACAGGAGAACTGATAACCTAACATTAGTTTTACACTCTAAACTATTATAATGTCTACTATACATTGGCTTTAGACAGAGAGTTACTGACGGTGGCTTTAGAGACATTGACGGTGGTTTTAGACACAGTCACTGTTACTGACCTTGGACAAAGTGTCACTGACATTGGCTTTAGACAGAGAGGCACTGACGGTGGCTTCAGACAGAGAGTCAGTGACGGTGGCTTTAGACAGAGTCAGTGACGGTGGCTTTTAGACAGAGAGTCAGTGACGATGGCTTCAGACAGTCAGTGACGGTGGCTTCAGACAGTCACTGACGGTGGCTTTAGACAGGGTCACTGAATTCTGAAATTATATCTGGCAGAAAAATGGTTTACTGAATATCAGATCTTCTATTTCTAATTGGTCTAATTTGTAGGTACTTGTAAGGCGTGAGGCATGTGATGCATTGTTCAGGTTATGTCTTGGTAACAGTAACGTTAGCAGACAGTTCTCTCACTCACTTATGTCAAGTCTACTAAGTTTTCTCACTGCTGCTCAGAATTACAAGCCACCTCTTAAACAGGTATGTAGCAGAACAAAGTACTTCAATCTTTAATCATAGTAGTATTAATGTTTCCAGGTGTGTAAATGGGACATTCAACTTTCAAGATAGTGCTGACAGTGACTGTAAATTAATATTAAAAAAAATACTATCAGGTGTGGGTGGAAAAAAGTTGTTAGTAAAGGTGGGTATCAGTTTAGGTGGTAACAGTAAGTGTATAACAATCGTAGGTGTATGTGGGTAACAGGTTTGGGTGGATAACAATTCTGAGTATGGGTAACAGTTGTGGATATGGGTGGGTATTTGCAGGTAACAGTTGTGGGTGTAGGTTGTCAACAGTTATTGGTATGGCAAGGTAACATGAGTGAGTGGGTGGGTGGTAACAGGTATAGGTGTAGGTGGGTTTTGTGTGTTTGGTAACATTAGTTGGTGTATGTGGTGGGTAACAGTATGGGAAGGTAACATCTGTGATAGTAGGTGGGTAACAGTTGCGAGTACAACTTGTCAGTGGAAGTTGGTTGTAGGTGTAGGTAGATAACAATTGTTAGTGTATGGGTAACAGGTGTGGTATAACAATTTAGAGAGTATGGGTGGGTAAGTTGTGGGTATTGGAAAAAGGTGGGTGGGTGTTTGGGTTTGTAACAGTTGTGGGTAAGGTGGGTGTTAGTGGGTAACATTTATGTGTGTGGGTAGGTAACAGTTTTGGGCATGTGTGGATAATAGTTGTAGGTGTAGGTGGTCATCAGTTGTGGTGTATAGATGGGTAATAATTGTGTGAGGTTGGATAACAGTTGTTGGTGTATGTGGGTGGCAATGGGTGACAGTTGGGTGAGTGGGTGGTTAACAGTTGTGGGTTAGGTGGATAACAGTTGTGGGTTAGGTGGATAACAGTTGTGGGTTAGGTGGATAACAGTTGTGGGTTAGGTGGATAACAGTTGTGGGTTAGGTGGATAACAGTTGTGGGTTAGGTGGATAACAGTTGTGGGTTAGGTGGATAACAGTTGTGGGTTAGGTGAATAACAGTTGTGGGTTAGGTGGATAACAGTTGTGGGTTAGGTGGATAACAGTTGTGGGTGAGGTTGATAACAGTTGTGGGTGAGGTGGATAACAGTTGTGGGTTAGGTGGGTAACAGTTGTGGGTTAGGTGGGTAACAGTTGTGGGTTAGGTGGGTAACATTTTTGGGTAGGTAACATTTGTGTGTGTGGGTAGGTAACGGTTTCGGGTATGTGTGGATAATAGGTGTAGGTGGTCATCAGTTCTAGGTGTAGGTGGGTTATAGTGGTTATATGTTGGTAATAATTGTGGGTATAGATGGGTAATAATTGTGTGTGGTTAGATAACAGTTGTTGGTGTACAATGTATGTGGGTGGCGGTGGGTGACAATTGTGTAGGTGGGTAACAGTTGTAGGTATGGGTAGATTACAGTTATGGTTATGTAGAGGCGAGTCAGGCAATAAATATGAATTATCATATATTTGGCTTTATAATTGCTTAAAGATTACTATCGTACCTGATAGTGGAAGTATGTTCCCAGGCTTCACAAATGATATTCTTTTGATGCAAATGTTAACAGTGTCCATTATAGGGTAATCATCATGACATCTGTCTGTTTTTCAGGTTTGTGATCATGATGAGGTAGAAGAAAATAATCTTGGGTGTAAGAACTATTTTAGATTGCTCAGTTTACTTGTTGATAATGTGGATTCTGAAGAAGAAGATGGGGATCCACCGGAACAGAAATTACAAGAATTAGACAACATGGCAAAACATTTAGCTGAATCAATCAGGAAGTGAGTCTGATGATAATTATGCATTTGTATGTCATTTGATTATTATGTACTAGTTATAAATTACAAGTAAAACATCTTTGACTTTTAATTTCCATTGTTCTCTCCTTCAGCAAACAAAAACACACTGAACATTTGTAAATGGGAGCAAATCTCACTACAGTGATGGGACAAGTTAACCCGTTAGACATAATCCAATATGTTGTCGTTCATCTTTATTGGATTATATGTGTTTGTATTTCAGTCGTGACATACTGGAGCAAAGACATAACACGATAGAAGATGTTGCACTCACTGGTTTATTGAAACTCTGTTCAGCTGTCATCCAACATAATCCACCATTCAAATATGGTAAAGACGGACAGGTGAGGATATGATGGTGAATCTTAGTTCAGTATATTTCCTATTTTATAAGTATGAGTGTATTCATTTTTAAATAGTGGTGTATGACCAATAATATTGGAATCAAAATGCTTATTTGCAGTGCTAGGTCACCCAGTTTAAAATACACCAAAGAAATGACATATTTCTAAAGAATGCTAAGAAAATTATGATCAAGGATAGATTGATGGATTTCAATGACAAATAAATAACAAAAAAAATCACATTAGCGTGCATTCATTTATATTCAAAGTGTTTTTTTTAGTTTCTGTGATGTTTGGTTCTTAGACAGGTTTCACTGTTAATGTTTCCAAATCATTTCTGACGCTTGTATCTTCTTCTCACTTAGATTTTCTGGAAGACATTTTCAATTGTTTGTTTGCTCTCCCCACTATGGAGACCCGATATTTACCAAAATGCAAATCAAAACAAAGTAGAGATGCTGCATATGAGCTAATGACAGAGTTTGTCAAAGGTAGTGCTATTAATTACAAGTTACTTCACAGTAAGATGTTACGTCAACACACTCCTGGTCATAATGGTAAGTGTCATTTATTTCAGTATCTCAGTTGTTTTTTTTGGGGGGGGGGGTTTAATTCAGTGCATCTTTGTAAAGCTATGTCCCATATTACTGACTACATGTATATGAGTACTATTCTTTGTTTACTTTATTCGGCAGGAAAGCACCCTCATTATCCGTGGAATTACTGGCCTCATGATGATGGCAGAGCTTCTTGTGGTTTTGTTGGTCTAACTAATCTAGGTGCTACATGCTACATGGCATCCTGTGTACAACAGTTATTCATGATGTCTGAGGCCAGGGATTCAGTTCTCAGTGCTAAGGTTTGTATACTTGTCGTATGTTGTAGTTATGAGCGAAATTGCAATGAATCTTTTGATAAAAATGCCAGCCCAACTAACGCTTGGATTTTGAAGCAACAGATGTTGATCTTAGTATTCGATTGATAATACTGGACTGACAACTTACATATTGGTAGACCATTTAAACATGTGTATCCATCTGGAGGAGAGAGATCATCTGCACGTGTATGATACCAAATTATTTTTGTATTTCTCAGATTTCAGGACAAGATGTAAAGCATGTTGGTATATTACGAGAGCTGCAGAAAATGTTTGCATATTTACAGGAGAGTGAGCACAAAGCTTACAATCCCAGGAGTTTTTGTAAAGTCTATGTGATGGATAAGCAGCCGCTGAATACAGGGGAGCAGAAAGATATGACTGAGTTCTTCACTGATCTTATCAGTAAAATGGAAGAAATGTCACCAGATTTAGTAAGTTGTATCCAATAATGCATTTAATGGTTTTATTACTCATGTAACAATTCTGATTCCAGTATGTAAGAACGTAATTCACATGTATTTGATAGTGATCCTAGAGAAAGTAATGTCTCTAGATTTATGGGTTAACTTTGATGTCTAGTGACTGGACAATGAATTATTGATGTTACTATGACATGTTTGTCATAATTACAGATCAAATAACCACCCCTTTTCAAAATTAGAGATCAAAACATCAAGCAATGTTGTTGAGAAAAGTGATTGCAGTTATAGTTGTGAATAAAATAGCTAGACCATTTTATATTGATCGGCCATACTAACTTATACATCAATTTGTCTCTGTGATTTATTCATTTTCATGATTTGGTCTGATTTATTTGACATTCACCTTGTATTAATTTTTGCTCTGATGTTGTTAATTGCAGAAAGATGTTGTAAGAAGTCTTTTCCATGGAGTAATCACCAATAATGTTGTATCATTAGTAAGTTTTCATACCACTATAACCAATATGCATCTCATACAGCAATGCTAGCAAAGAGATTTTCAGAGCCAAATGTAATATGGATTGTCAATCAGAAAATTTCACAATAAAATAATTTATTACTATACTGTCATATAATTATACTACTAATAGTATGGCATAATTGTCATACACTTTATACTTGTGGGTTTAGCTTCTAAGAGCTTCCTGTATGCGAGTTGACAGGACCTCGGTTTCATATAAGTCACTCATTCCCTGCCTAGCAAAAAATCCCAGGGACACTGTCACTGATAAAAGGTTTTGTCAATTTCCAAGTTTACGGTGTGTTCATATAATGTGTACAAGAACAGATGCACATACTTTTATATACAGTGTCTTGTTCCTAATCTACTGTGTCCTTTTTTAAATGTTCTATTTAATAAGCAGTTTATGTTCATTTGCTAGGACTGTCCTCATGTCAGCCGCACATTGGAAGAATTTTACACTGTCAGATGTCAGGTTGCAGATATGAAGAATCTCTGTGTAAGTTGTAGAATAAGGCTCATTTTTTGCTCTGCTGTCGACGAAGTAGAGCATAGCTTATTATAGTATTACTGATTGTCCATCGCCGTT